TTACCTTCAGGCAAACCACATTCACGTTTCGAAGGTACTCTATGTTTATTGACTAAACTATTTTCAGTTTTGGTAGGAACAAAAATGATTTTAAAGTAAAGTATTATCTTAATCGTGTCGGTTTGGCCGTACAACATTTGCAACCAATCAATTTCATTACACAAGTGAATGCGCTTTGAAGTGGGCTACGGTGGTCCTCGAATCTTTCCTTCAACAAATCTTGCCTTCAACATACGTCTGTGATAACCTGCTGTTGCTGTTCTGGATGTTTCATTGACCAGTTCCCCATGAAACAAACGTTATTATATTATGTGTTTCAGAGCGCAATCCTGAGATTTCGATAATACAGCACGAAACCATGCAGAAAATCGTAATCCATGGGGCCTACTAAAATATTTCTAGCATTTAAATCGATGTATCTTCGAAAGCACACACTGACATCTAGAGTGCTATACTTATAAGTAGACTCTTTGCCCATGGCTGTTGAAGACGTGAGTTCGATTCCAGCTGTAGAAGTTTAATTTTTTAGCAACTCCGTCTACTATACATTGTAAAGCGTATAAAGCTTGCTGTTGAGCGGGAATTTGCGCTTTACAAATGCTATCTGTTATTATGATTACATTGTATATCTGCTTAGATGCTCCATCCTATTCAGCTTGGATTGACCCCTGACAGAATGGGTCGAAGCTGCCCGCTTCCTAAATGATTCTTACTATGTTGTTATAGATGTTCAGCATTCACAGTGCCGTGATGGCTGGGGTGTTTTATTTTTACTTTAAGGGGGCGGAAGGGGGGGGGGGGGCAGGCTATAAAAGAGCAGTTACTAGGACAGCAATAGTCTATCTGAACTGCGCTTTAGTAAGTTTTTCTCTCTCTTATTTTGATCTGATTGTTAACATAATATAAATATCGTTTTTGTCTTTAGATCCAACGAGTCCATGTTACCAATTAATTAGAGATTCCCTGCTTCAAGTCATTGTTTAGTCGGGGTTTTTTAAATCTTTGGTTCTGTTTTAGGTGTTATTCTTTCCTGGTGTTCTGTCGTTGTCCCTTGCATTCATTCTAGATTTGAATGCCACCCCCACCCCCCGATCGTGTATTATTTTTCTCTTGTGAGGGGGTGCCAATAGCATAGTAAGTAAAATTCTGAATAACTTGAGGGGATGGCCGTGGCTCGATTCCCCAACGATGCATTTGATCTTGAAGCGATCTCCCCTCTGTCGGAGATGGTTTTTAAATCCGAAGGTCCCGCTTCAAAAATAACCTTACAGTGTTCAGAGAAACATTAAACCCATACCATAGTAGGCTAACATTATACTTTTCTGATCAGGAAAAAAGGAGAGGGGCGAATTGTATTCTTTCAACTTCTTACGTATTCCATCGTAATGATTTTCTCAATACGCTTTACTCTTAACCATTAACCGATATGTTTTCTTTTACTTAATCTCTGTTCCTGCAACAGCACTTAATCTCTGTTCCTGCAACAGCTTTCACCTGGATCAATGTAGAAGTGCACTTTTGTTAAGCTGAAATAAAGGCTGCAATTCAGCATTTTTTGTTTCTCGAGATACTGCAAGTCACAATGTAATGCATACAGGGGTTAGATAAGCATGTTGCGTTGGAAGCACACAACTAAACAAAATAAGAGACAAAATAAAAAAGTTGAAAAGTTTTCTTTGCTACGTTTCCCAAAAATTTTTCTCACAAATGTATTAGATTTTTTTAAGGCGTGCGTATAAGAGCCAAAAAATGATTTATGTTTTCAATGTGTTTTCCTTTACAAAACATTTTTGCTTTTATATATTTTAAAAAGAGTGTATTTGAAGATACTTTGCCCTTTTCGCTATTGTGGTCCAAAACTCAAATTTCACCTACGGAAGACACCCTCAGTACCTCTTTGTAGATGTCAGGCTGCTTTTTCAGCACACAAAGGACTATTACATAGAACATATTTACGGAGCTCATGTAGCGAAGAGACATGCCCGATCAGCATAAGAGACCAAACGCAAATCTTACGACACATTTCGAAACACGATACACAAAATAGAAACAAAAATTTACTTATTTTGGCTTCTTTGTGTGGGGGGGGGGGGGGGCGGGTAAGCGTTTTACGGGGCTCGCAACTGCATAAGGTCATATTATGAGCGCGCGGGACACATTAATAAACACTTATCAGTTTGTATGAAATTTTGAATTTTGCCCGGATGACAGCTGAAGACTACTCTGGTCGATTTTAGGACCACCAAGGGGTCTTTAACGTGTGCAACTTACATATGGGACCTTCGAGATTTTTCGCCATTATCCGAGAAGACAAGGTGTTAGATCTTACCTATCACCTATCATAAGATCAGGGGTGTGGATGAAAGACAATAGTGAGAAGGAGCCGAGGAGTAGCAGTAGAAAGGCTGCAGAGTCAGGAGCCCAGAGGAGGGGGCAAAGGGGAGAGGGGAAGGGGGAGGAGGCAGCAATTAGTGGAGACTAAAGCAGACGAAAGAATATGGTTAGAATGCAGGAAAAGGAGTGAAAGGAGAAAATTTTAGAAAAGAAAATTTATGTTTCTGTCCGGATTCGAACCTGGGACCTATTGAACGAGAGACAAACAACAACCTCTTGACCACGAGAGCCACCTTACATATTTCATAGTGCGCCTGTCGTTGCCTGCCTTTTCAAGTGTCAATTGAAGAAATCAGAAGTGATAAATCGGTATATGGATTACGAAGTTGTTCGTTTTTCTTAAGTGCCACAAAACAGCGCGTATTCAAGTCGCCACTTAGATCTAATTAAGAATTACAAAATTCTATCCGCTCTGTACCTACTGTTTAAGAATTTAACATTAAAGAATTTTGAGTTTCACAACATGTCAAACTTTTTCAAGTGCAATTCTTTGAATTTCTTTGTAACCACTTTGAATAATCTTACCATTTTGATGAAGCAGATAGAACATTTGGTTTCTAACTTCATGGTCTTACAGTAACTTAAAAAAGGCCCAAAGTGTCAGATAGAACTTTGTTCTTCTGAAGTAGCAAAGTTTCGTAGAATGGTCAGAATGTGTGTCCTCAATTAAATAAAAGTAATAGCTTCATTGAACGTGTTAGAAAGTAAGAAAAGTCAGACGAATTAGTCGTGTGAAGCCTGCCGACCTTGCATTTTTGTGTTGCGTTGTCAAGTCTCGGCCTTTACATCATGGTCTATCGGACAGCCAACACGGCAGCAGCCAGATATCGTCTGCTACAGCCATAGATCTATGTCAGCTGACTGATTAGTGAGTTAAGCTAGGCTACGGTGTCCGTTATTTCCGTTGTTAGGTTACTCGACAAGAAAGCAGAAAAGCCATAAAAAACTACCAAGACAATTCAACTACAACTAAATCAATAACTAAGTGTCTTCAAAAGATATAACTCAATGTTATGTGGATTAACAAAAAATATATTATAAACTAAAGAGAGCAAGAAAAAGACAAAAGAAAATAATACGCTCCGTACTGGTATTAAAATTGAATTTCAGGACAATTAGATACTATTGGTGAATAAATAAATGCATGACAAAATATATAACTAATTATATGAATGGATAAATGAATTAATGAATGAAAGAATGAAGGAATGAATTTCTGTAAGAAATAAGCAAGGAGTTAGAAGAAAATAAAAACGTAATTAAATTTGATAACGATAAAGCCGAGTTTTAAAAGTGAATCAACAAGATGAAAACCATAAAAAGCACACTTGTAAAAATGTTTTTGGACAAGTTTGTTCACTCCTCGCTCTATTTGAGGAACTTTTTATGAAAAAAAAACGTATTAAAAATGAAGGTGGCGACATCTACTTTACTGGCATGATTTTGTTTTGTTTTGTCTGCTTTTTTTGTGAAGGGGGGGGGGGGGGGGTATTGTTGTAGTTTGTGTTTTTTGTTGGTTTTATTTTGTCGTTTTTATCATTTTCGCTTTCTTTTAAATCTGCTAGTTTGTTTTGCTTTGTTTTGTTTTTCTTGAGGGGTTGGGAGTGCAATCTTTGTATACATAGAGAAGGAGCAGAGGCAGTCTGAAAAGAACTTTCATTTGAGAAAGATACAAAGTGATTTTACTAGTACCCGTTGCGATATTTATGACTCAGTGTGTAATTGTCTAGACAGTGATGCGTCTTATTGAACATTTTCTTTGGCACGGCTTGTCATTTCGTTTGCTTCTATTATGTTTTTATTATTATTATTATTTAAATTATTATCATCATCATCATCATCATCATCATCATCATCATCATCATCATCATCATCATCATCATCATCATCATCATCATCATGCTGCAAAATAAATCGGGAGGAGGGGGGGGGGGGGGCTTTAATTTGGAATTCATACTTTTTTAGAAATGTATTGCCAGGTATTTTTTTCCTTCTTCTACACAACATGATTTGTAGATATCTATGTAAAGCTGTGTCCATTCAGCATTCAATTCAAAGCGCACAGTTCTAAAACTTTAGTTGTGTCTATGAAGGTGGGGTAAAACACTTAGATCTATCTACATTAGAAAACAAAAAGAGAAAGAAAACTTGAGCAAGTGCGACATTGCACAGCTGTGCCTTGTCTCCACTTACAAACTCCCTCCCCCCTCCCTCCCCCCCCCCCCCCCCTCTGACACCGAGGTTTGGTCTACACTCCACGTCATAAATTCTGAGCACTCTGACTGGCGTAATCGATGTGGTAATCACGCGGCTAAAAACGAAGTCACCGCACGATTCTACAGTGGAAGTGAGTGGTGCTCGATATAAGCCGTTGGCGTATTTAGTACCATACCGCCGCACTCAACGGTTTTCCAATTTTATAATTTTAAAAAAATCTCTCAGCTGGCGAGATTCATTCTCGGTATGACTTCGAGCGCGTAGAAACACTTTTTGCGGAACTTTGGAGGAAAAAAAAGTAACCTTCGCTTCATTTCAGTGTAAAGGTTATAATGTTTGACTTGAGAACTAGATCCGTATATAAAAGACAGACATCAAAAGAATTCTTTGCCTTTTCCTCAGAATAATTCTTGTTCAATTTTAGAAATCAGTAGTCTATTTTTATTAATTTGTTGTTGTTTTTTTTAATCGATGAGTCTTTAGGTTTATCTTTAGAGTAAAACGAAACCACCTCAATAAAAAGTTGATAAGAGGAATTAGTCTGTGAATTTCTTAAGTACCCAAACTTTTTGAACCTGTTGGTGCTAGGAGGAGAGAAAAGGACAATAGATAGGAAAGAAGGAGCCAAAGTAAGTCATCTTGAATTTATCACTAATTGGGTTGTTGTCGGGGTTTTTTCTGTTCCAGTCTCCCGTTGACTCACCAGATCGTGTGCCTGTCCCGTCGACATGTTTCTGCTCCGTAACCTGGGCGCCCACGTCATCCTGGTGGCGTTCCTTGTCTGTCGGGTCGGCACGGTCCATATGGACTGGCCAGGGAGTGGCCCTGTTTCGTCTGAAGACGATGACGACAGTGACGGATCGTCTGACCCCGACTCGAAGGTCAGTTCTGGGGAAGTTGGTCATCAATACGTAAACCAAGAAGCGCAGTTGGACTCCGAGGACTCATCAGAAAACGACAACTCAACACATGCAGTTGGCCTTCTTGCGAATCCGTTCGTGGATGTAGAAGACTCTCACGTCAATGATGAGATTGAAAGTAAAAAAGAGAAGGAGAAGGAAAAAGTAGTGCCTTTGGTAAGTAATGTTTCCAGAGCTGATTTCGCTTAATACTGACACCTATTTTAGGCGCCCATAGCTTGCTGTTGGACGAGAATTTGCGCTATACAAATGCTATTAATCATTTATCATTATTACATGTTTAAATCACCATTTTGCTCTAATGTCTTACTCACGGGAAACCTAAATAATAAACAGCGTTTGGAAAATCTAGTTTTAAAAAAAGCCCCACAAAAAAACACGGCACTTTCCATAGACTCAGGCATCATGGGTGGTGTGGGATTTGGTCCAGCAATTTGTTTTATTTATTTAATTCTATTTTTTAATTGGGGAGCAAACTTGAAATAGGAAGTGAGATTTTAAACCGACAAAATGATGAAAAATTCTTTAATTAACTGACATGGCACGTTTTTTTTCCAAGAGCAAGTAAAAAGTTTTGCTTTTTTTTTTGTCTCGAATCTCATTTTTTTCTGGGCGCCATGTCCTACTGTCCTTGAAAGGGAGCGGGTATACCCCGTTCCCACTCTCCTCAGATCCAGAGGCCAAGTTTTGAAGCCACGTACACAGCTGCTAAGTTGCGAGAAAAATAATGACAGAAAAAACGGTCTTCTTGGTTTCGTGTTTTATCTGAAATGTCTTGTGTTTTAAAGGGGGGGGGGGGGGGCTTCACCCCCAAAATCAAAATTCGGCTCAAAATCATGGAATTTGAGTTGTAGGCATTTTTAGCTTCCTCAGCCTCTCCTACAACTATTTCATGGCATAAGAAACCCCAAAAACCGTATTTTTTCCCATACCGTTTGTAACCGCCAATTCCTCATAAAGTCAGTATTTTATTTTTCTTTATCGGCCGTTTTCTCAAATGCGACTTTTCTCTATACTTTTTTAAATAACTCCACCATTTTTCATCCAATCTTCATGAAATTTTCACAGAATGAAGAGAAGAGGTAATACTACAAATTTGTCTGTTAAATTTTTGATATAGCAAATAGATTTTTGTTGGTGGTGTCTGGAGTGTGGATTTTCACGGATTTTTCGCAAACTTGAATGCTACCTCAGGAAAAAAATTCATTAAAAATTTTCTAATTCGATTAGGAAAAAAACAACAGAAATTTTTTAGATCCAATGTTTGTGAACACGCATGCAAAAAAACAATCAATTTCCATGAGCAATAAGTGCGGTATTCATTACGTAAGACATGTCAATAAAATCCAATATGGCGGCGTATCCATAGAAACGAACCTTTTTTTTTCTCAAATTTGATTGCGGATTTTAAGACTCATTACTATGCTTGTTATATGTGTGAAATTTGGTAAAATTCGGTCCAGTAATAAGCGAGATAGCCTCCAGGTGTAGCCCCCCCCCCCCCCCCCTTAAGGAGGTTTATATTATTCATATGCGATAGTTAACAAGGTATATAACTCATCTTCTATCGTAGATGTAAAGGGTAAACTTCAGTTCAAATCGGACAAATGGCTATTGTTTTATGATCTGTATTTGTACAAACACAAATTTCTCATTTCTTCAGTGTCCACTTGTTTATTTTCGTTATAAAGGAAAACTAAAAATAATTGGTTAAGACAATGTGGTAGACCAGATCCCCTGTCTCCGTTTCAACTTTCCGGAGCAGTTTTTTTTTTTTTGTTCCAGGCACTTAGGGGAGAAATAATTTTTTGTGTAGGAGCGACACGCCCCAATCGACAATTAATTTTGTTAGATCATTTAAGAGACGGGCTGCCTGTCAGCTGCCTAAATCGGGCTTACGGGGGACAAAATATCTCAGAAAAAAGACGAAGATATGTACTCGGTTTAATATTCTCCCCTTAAAAGAACCGAAATCACGTCACCTACGTGCGACGCCGGAGCGCCTCGTTAATTTACATGCAACAGTACTTTTTTTTCTTTTTGTTTCTTTTTGGTTACTGTATTTCGGCGCTCGCTACTGCGGAAAGTCATGTGAGTGCGCAGGACACACTGAACATTATTAGTTGGAAGGAAATTTTGAATATAGCCTGTATGGCGGCCGAAGCTTACTCTTATCGATTTTAGATCACCAAGGGATCTTTAACGTGCGCAACCTGCACATGGGACCTCCGAGATTTTTCGCCCTCGTCCGAGAAGGCTAGGTGTTGATCTTACCTATCATATAATCAGCGGTGTGGCTGAAAGACAGCAGTAAGAAGGAGCCAATGAGACGCAGTAGAAAGGCTGCAGAAAGAGTCAGGAGCCCAGAGGAGGGGGTAAAGGAAGTGAAGGGGTGGGGGCAAAAAGTGGAGACGAAAGCAGACGACAATACATTGCTAGAGAGCAGGAAAGGTGATGAAAGGAGACCATTTTAGAGAAAAAAAATTGTTCCGTCACTACCCGGATTCGAACCCGGGACCTTTGAATGAGAGGCGAACACCTTAACCTCCAGGCCGCGAGAGCCCCCCCCCCCCCCCCCCCCCCCCACCAGTACTTTGGAGCACTCACATTGAATTTACCTTTTAGTGTTAGACACTGATGTCGGGTAAAAAATGGAGTTGAAGGTGTGAGATCAAAACAAAGAAAGGACAAGTTTTTGTACACTCAATGACGTTGTATAGAAACACGTTCCTCTCGAGCGTGCTGTGTTATCTGAAGTGATAATTTAGACTGCTAGTGTGCATTCATTATAATCAGTTATGTATAATGACAATAACAGAATTAACGTTACATTGCCATTTTGTTTTTGGAGGATAGATTAATATTCTTCAGATATGCAGTCAAAATTGTTCTAAGACGGGCACCCATTGTTTCGGAGAAAAGGGGTTGTTAAGACAGATTAACGCCTTACACATTGTTATCATAACGTTAAAAAAACAAGGAGGAACGGGATAGGAAGTGGCCGTTTGTACAGGTGATTGGTTTATACAGGTGGCCGTTAGATCAGCTTGGACTATATATCAGATAAAATATTATGATAATATACGAATGACTTCAAAGATATCAAATTTCATCACAAACTGAAGGCGGTGCCCTATCTTTCACGCTGCCGATTAGCTATAAGTTGCCGAATAGATAACAGACGCACAGAGACCAATTTTTAAAATTTATTACAGTTTCTTTTCTGTAGTATAAATTGCAAGTTCTCGAGAAATATTATTATGTTGAAATTCAAGTTATAACTTGGTTAATCTTTTAAAAGATAAAAAAAAATACGTTATAATGCAGGCCCAATAATTGTTTTAAAAAGAAAAATTTTTCTCTCTCGTATTCTAGGCTTAATACATTAAGGCAGTTTGCTGACGTTAATGACAATGTGTTTTTATTTTACTCTCGTCCAAAGTGCCCGACGGATGAAGTTATGAACGTCAGCGTCGTCTGCACACACCATAATGAACTTCACCTGCACTGTGTTGATAAGGTGAGTAAGTTTGAATCATAACGACTATTGACCATGACGTAGATTTACCTAAAAATCGAGGTAGAGTGGAAGTAAAATTTTCCCTAGCCTTACCAAATGACTGAACGGTAGGGCCAGAATCACATAGTTTTCATTTTCGTTTAAGGTAACCCCTCCCCCCAACCCCCCCAACCCCCCCCCCCCAAATTTTTTTTAAAAATCATCACACACACTCATAGACCGGTGGGAAAACAAAAGGAAGGGGTAAATAACCATAGCAGCAAAACAAACAACAGAAAGTTTCTAAAAAATCAGACGATTAATCAAACAAAATCCCAAACCCTGCTAAAAAAAATCCCAACTAAACGACTTTTTGTGAAGTCCATCTCTGATTGCACCTAGGCCAATTTTGTAAAGAGCCTTGCAAATAACTGAACAGCCTACATTCAAGAAGGCCACTTCAAGGTTTTGAACTAAAATCATCCGTTCACGCTATCCAACATAATATTTATTAACAACTGGGCTGTTATCGCACTTTCCCAAGGAAGACAGTTGAGATGAAGTCTGTTTGCTCTCGTCAAAATGTGTATGTGTAAGTATTTCAGTAGACGCAGCATGTGTCTATAGAAGGTGTACTCTTGATGTGAATTCCCAAGTCTTACACGGGGTGCCCACTGCTGAATCGGGCCGATCGTTCGACTCGGTCACCTGAAACTGAAAACAAACACATTTGTTTTTGAGGCGACCAAGCCGAGCGATCGGCCCGACCCGCCGAACCCATCCATAGTGGGCACCCCGTATTAGACTTTAACTCATTGCATGTGACGCCATGTGTTCTTGCACTCAATAGTGAACCTGCTTGGTAATGGTCAGTAAAAGCCAAGATGTTGAATACTTTCAGGTAAAGCATGAATCACAGACAGTGTAGCTCATTCTCTCCATGTGTTAGTCTAAAACCAGTATTATTAATATTTATTGCCATGAGCCATACTATTATCCCTGGGCAAAGACTACTTCAAAAGTTTTAAAGTAGTCCTTGTCCCTGGGATATAACCTTTGTATGAATTTGAACTTGCTCTTTATACTGCTGTTCGGGAAATTTTTCGGGACATTTTTCAGGAAAATCCAGGAAAATTCAAGCGCATTTTGGGGGCATTCGACAGTTTTGCTGTTTTGGGATACGGTACCCTAAAGAAGAAGCATAACCTCGTTATGTGCATACGTTGTTCGATTATGTTCTCTTCATTTGAAGATTAAAAAGGCAGGCAACAACATGCATACTGTAGAATATAATACATGGTCGCTTTTAAAGACAAGTGTGCTAACCCAGATTTCGGGGTTTTTAGAAATGTTGACCTACAACAAAAGTGGGCATTACCCTACCTATAGGAGAAGTTTGGTTTCGTTTGAGTGCATATATTTGTTTGGTTATAGAAAAAACTTTCCTTGTCTTTAAAAAAAAATTTGAACAAGGGGCAAAAACTTTACCTTCGATTTTCTCAAAACAGCATTTTTCGGGAAAAACCACTTGTGCTTAAAAGCGACCATATACAAAATCGTCTTTCCGATGATGGTTTGAAATTTGAAATGTGACGTAACGATTTAGTAACATTGTCTTTTGCCGATTGGACATTGTGTGCACTACTTCCTTAGAGACGTAGTACGTTTTACCTTTCTTTCCAACATACGACTACATACATCTACTCTCGTAGATTGTCTCAAGGCAAGGCCTCTAAATAAACGGCTAGCTGTTGTTGGATAAAACGAGGCCTTTTTAGAAAAGTCGTAACAGCTGAGGATATCACGGTATTGGAACCCGTCCCATCGTCCCATAGTCATTACACTATGGCGTATTCCATCGGAGGATGAGCTACTGGGTTCATTCTAAAGAAATATCTGAAATATCAAGTAGATTTTCATATTTCTATGCCTAAAATGTGTTCTCCCCCCCCCCTCCTCCTCCTCCTCCTCCTCCTTGCAACATTCCTCATTTTATCACCTACCCCCCCTAAAAAAAAACCAAAAAAGTAACAAAGTAATGTGAAAGACCGAGTCTTGGAAATTAATGGTAAAAAGAAAAAATATACATGTAGTCAAACTTTAACGTTCTTAGAAGAAATTCCCAATTTTACATCATTATCCTTCTCCTCCTCCTCCTCTTTCTCCTTCTGCTCCTCATCATACCAATCATGGTTTCAAATGCTTGGTAACCAAATAATACCTTAGCGCGCTCTCTCTCTCTCTCTCTCTCTCTCTCTCTCTCTCTCTCTCTCTCTCTCTCTCA